TCATCATGACGTTTGGCAGCGGCAGCAATGGGTGCCTAGGCCATGGCAGCCTCACTGACATCAGCCAGGTGGGTGTCACATGTACTTTGGAGAGGGGGAAGTGGGGAGATGGCGGGGAGCCCACATCTGAGAGCTGACACCAGATCGGGGGCAGGGGAGTTCCCAGCAGCCACAGGTTCCTCTAGCTTCCCAGATGCACCTGCCCTGGGCCACCTACATCGGGGGAAGTACAGAAAAACCAGGCTTCCCCAATGGTTGTCCACCTGGCAGTGTGTATGGCTGGAGTTAAAGACATAGCCACCTCCTGACAATGTGTATCCTCCAGCTTTGTCCCTACAGGGGGTGTTGAGGCCAGATGGCTAGTCCCAGACCCTTTGCCCAGTTTCTCCTTGCTTCCTCTCCTCTCTAGCCCACCATTGTGGAGGCTTTGCTGGGCTATGAGATGGTGCAGGTGGCCTGTGGGGCTTCTCACGTGCTGGCCCTGTCCACTGAGCGAGAACTATTTGCTTGGGGCCGTGGAGACGGCGGTAAGCTCCAGCCTCTAGGCCCCATCTCACAGCATCCTCAGCCATGACTTGCTCCCCTTCATACCCACCTTCCACCCCACAGCACATTCTCTTCTCCCTCTTTTCTCTCAAATTCTCTTCATTCATTCAACAAACCTTTATTTTACACCAACTGTGCACATGCTGTGCTGGGTGCTGAGATAAGATGGAGATGTGGCTTCCTTCAGGTGTTTGAGGTAATGAAGGAAATTTCATTCAACCACCTATTTTTTTATTTTGAGACGGAGTCTCGCTCTGTTACCCAGACTAGAGTGCAGTAGCGTGATCTCAGCTCACTGCAACCTCCACCACCAAGTTTAAGCAAATCTTCTGCCTCAGCCTCATGAGTAGCTGGGATTACAGGCACCCACCACCGCACCCAGCGAATTGGTGTATTTTTGTAGAGACAGGGTTTCACCATCTTCGCCAGGCTGGTCTCGAACTCCTGACCTCATGATCCACGTGCCTCAGCCTCCCAAAGTGCTGCGATTACAGGCGTGAGCCACCACGCGTGGCTCATCCACCAGTTTTTATTGAGGTCCTCTTTGGGTCAGGCATCAGGCTGGGCATTGAAACTAGAGATGACACTGATGGGTTCCTGTCTTCCTGGAGGACTCAGTCTAGTAGGAGAAAGATGACATTGCCAGCATGCCAGAGAACAGATAGCATCAGGGCTACACCCCGGTGCAGAGGTGTGGAACTCAGTGAACAATAATGTCAACTGGAGGAGAGAGAGAGCATCTGAACAGAGCTTTATAAGAAGGAGGATTTTGAGTCGGCGCGGTGGTTCACACATGAAATCCCAGCACTTTGGGAGGCTGAGGCAGGTGGATCACGAGGTCAGGAGTTCGAGACCAGCCTGGCCAACATGGTGAAACCCTGTCTCTACTAAAAATTTAAAAATTAGCTGGGCGTGGTGGCTCATGCCTGTAATCCCAGCTACTCAGGAGGCTGAGGCAGCAGAATCGCTTGAACCCGGGAGGTGGAGGTTGCAGTGAGCCACGATCGTACCATTGCATTCCAGCCTTGGCGACAGAGTGAGACTCGGTCTCAAAAAATAAAAAATAAAGGAGGATTTTAACCAGCAGAGGGGCCTAGGAAAGGCATTTGGGACTGAGAGAACAGAGAACTCATGCTGTTCCCTCCCCTCAGTGGGCCCTCCTCATCCTGGCGTCACCCCCACTAAAGCTCAAATTAACTCCTTCTGGGTTTCTTCTCGTAGGCAGACTGGGACTAGGCACCAGGGAGTCCCACAGCTGCCCCCAGCAGGTGCCCATGCCCCCAGGACAGGAAGCTCAGCGAGTTGTATGTGGCATTGACTCTTCCATGATCCTCACTGTGCCTGGCCAAGCCCTGGCCTGTGGGAGCAACAGGTGAATAGGTCATCAGGGTGACTAACCTGCCTCCGGCTCTCCTTGGCTGTGAGTGCTTCATCCATCATTGCCTACCTCTCACCAAAGACCAGAATTGAGGGGGTTGAGGGTGCTATTGGTTCAACCCAGGGTGGGATCTGTCTCCTGGTGCACCAGCTCCTGCCCAAACTGTCTGTCAGTTGGATTTGGCTTCTGGCTCTGCCCTCAGGTTCAACAAGTTGGGCCTGGACCACCTCTCCCTGGGGGAGGAGCCTGTCCCTCACCAGCAGATGGAGGAGGCCCTGAGCTTCACACTACTAGGCTCTGCACCCCTGGACCAGGAGCCCCTGCTGAGTGTAGACCTGGGCACTGCTCACTCAGCTGCTGTGACTGGTGAGCAGGACTTGGGCTCTGGAGGCCAGAGGGGGACTCATGGTCTCCTTGGTACCCTGTTGAAGCACCCCTTTTCTTCCTCTCCCCCATAGCCTCAGGTGATTGCTACACTTTTGGCAGCAATCAGCACGGGCAGTTGGGCACCAATGCTCGCCGAGGCAATCGGGCACCCTGTAAGGTCCAAGGCCTTGAGGGCATCAAGATGGCAATGGTAGCCTGTGGGGATGCCTTCACCGTAGCTATTGGGGCAGGTGAGGACTGAGCATGGCGGGGGCAGGCAGTGCCATGAGCAGTGCGGGCTGAGGGTTGCTGCTGAGGGCCACTGGACTCTGGAGCCTCCCTGGGGCCATCCTGGCAATGTGGGAGGGGAGATCCTGCTCAGGCTGTGCCCACTTCCCACTTTCCTCCTGGGGATTCTTCCTGGCAGAGGGTGAAGTGTACTCCTGGGGCAAAGGGGCCCGAGGTCGACTGGGAAGGAGGGATGAGGATGCCGGACTCCCTCGGCCAGTGCAGTTGGATGAGACACACCCTTACACGGTGACTTCCGTGTCCTGTTGCCATGGAAACACCCTCCTGGCTGTTCGCCGTGAGTTTTAACTTTTCCCACCTCACCACACAACCCAGCTGACCCCTGCCCACACTCCCACCCCCCATGTTCACAGATTCCCGCATCACCAAAAGCATCTTTAGCCCTCAGATAAAAATAGCTGAAGCTGCGGTTAAAAAGCTCAAAGTTTCCTGCCCCGGGTGGCCAAGGCGGGTGCTGCTTGGGCCTCATGGAAGGGCTGCCTCCACTGCTCCCCAGGGGGCTCACGTGCATTCTTTCTCCTACTGCTGAGTCCCGTTGATGCTGAACCTCTCTTTCTGGCCTAACAGGGTCCAGAATCCAGGGCCCAGTAGGAGTGGGAGGTGGGTGATAATTTCTGGAGGCACTGCCCTCAGAAGCTGCAAGGGTTTCTCTTTGATACCCTCCAGCAGTCACAGATGAGCCGGTCCCCCCCTGAGGCACCTGGATACACCTCTGGACCACCCTGATACTGCTTCTCCTCTGAATGTTCTGAAAAGTGCAGGTGCCCAAGGCATGACTGTTGCAGCCGTCTCCTAGATTGGGTGATCATCGGGTATCCGGGCTGGCAAAACCCCTGCTCTGCTTTTGGCCTTGGATATGGAAACCTCAACCACTTTGTTCTCCCACCACCTCTTTGCCTTTCCTACCTCTTCCTCCCTTCAGTCAGTGTCCCCAGGATCCAGCCTGGCTACAGTTAGAAGGCAGACCTAGCCTTTGGAAGCAGAGCCTTGCCATAAAAAGGCTGAAGGCAGCTGTAGCTCCACACAGACCGTGCCCTTTCCCCCAGCCCAGTTAGAAAATAAGTCTGGGCTGGGGGTAGTGGCTCACACCTGCATACCCAGTGCTTTGGGAGGTCAAGCCAGGAGGATCCCTTGTGGCCAGGAGTTGTAGACCAGCCTGGGGACCATAGCGAGACCGCTGTCTCCATCAAAAAAAAAAAAAAAAAAAAAAGAAGAAGAAAATAAGGCTGGGTGCGGTGGCTCACCTGTAATTCCAGCACTTTGGGAGGCCAAGGCGGGTGGATCACTTGAGGTCAGTAGTTTGAGACCAGCTTGGCCAACATGGTGAACCCTGTCTCTACTAAAAATACAAAAATTAACCAGGCATGGTGGCGGGCGCCTGTAATCCCAGCTACTCTGGAGGCTAAGGCAGGAGAATCCCTTGAACCCTGGAGGCGAAGGTTGCAGTGAGCCGAGATCGCACCACTGCACTCCAGCCTGGATGACAGAGCAAGACTCCCTCTCAAAAAAAAAGAAAAAAAAAAGTATTTGGTGCTCACTGGGACTGTCTCCATGCTTTGGAGCAGGGCAAGCCAGGGCCTGCCTGGACTGACCATTAGGCCTGCCTAGCTTCTGCATAGCCTGGGGCAGGGCGGTCCCCGGGAGTGCTGCCATCTCCCCCACACTTTCATCCTAAGGCAGGATTTCCTCGACGTCTGCTTGCCTCTTTTCCCCAGCACGAGGACAGGAGCCACTACGTGTCTGCTGCAGAAAAGATCCGGGCTGCAGTTTGTCCGTCACCCCATGCCTTTCTCCAGAAACACTTGAGAGAAAGGGTAGCTAGGGGGACCAGACTGGTTTCTCAGAGCACAGGAAGTAAAGCCAATAAAAATATCAGCTGCCTGCTGGAGTGTGGTGTCTTCAGGGGTGGGTGTGGCGACCAGGCACCCCAGGACTGGGCTGGGCGCGACCTCCGTGGCAGGGCTGCGGCCAAGGGAGGAATGTGGGCGCAGCCGGCGGCTGGGGTCGAAGTTCCTCTGGCCCAGCGCCCAGTCCAGCCTCCCCGCCCCAGCTGGGCTCCCCGGAGCTGGTTGCCAGGCTTCGGCTGCCTAGCACCTGGAAGCTGGGGCCCCGGTTTCTGGACGGCTCACGGCCCCGGAGGCCGAGCTGTTGCCTCTAGAAAAGAAAACCTTTGTAGCGCGGCCCGTCCCCTTTTCCAACCCGCACTCCCCCAGGGCCCGAGAAGCGGATACACGCTCTCTCTCCCCCAGGGAAAAGAAAAGCCCATGCTCCGGTGGGCGGGCGAGACTAGCGGTGACCAGACCCAAAGGCCTGCACTCGGGGGTGGGCGTGGCCGCTGGGCGCGCATTAGGACCGCGCGGCCGCGGCCCCGCCCCCTCTTCCGGCGGGCGGGCTTCACAGCGGAGCCCTGGCCGCTACCGCCAGTCGGCGCCGCCCGGAGCCGGGAGCGCGGCTCCAGCAAGGCGCGGGCTGTGGGGCCGCCGCGTGCCTGGCCCCGCTTGCCCGTGCCGGCCGCTCGCCCGCCATGCCTGGTTTCGACTACAAGTTCCTGGAGAAGCCCAAGCGACGGCTGCTGTGCCCACTGTGCGGGAAGCCCATGCGCGAGCCTGTGCAGGTTTCCACCTGCGGCCACCGTTTCTGCGACACCTGCCTGCAGGAGTTCCTCAGGTGCAGGCCGGGGAGCAGGGGCCAGCGGGGGCGGGGCGGGGCGGGGGGCGCCGTCTGGGGAGGGGCTCGGGCCCGGGGCACGCCGGGCCTTTGTCTGCGCTGCGACCCTGTGACCTCAGGGGCGCCCCGTGACGTCACGGGGAGGGGTGACGTCACGCCCCGAGGGAGGCTTCCCGCAGGAATCCGAGGGGTCCGGGCGGGTCCCACCTGCCTGGCCTGGGGCGGAAGACCTCGGCGCCTTCCCGCGGGGTGGGAAGGGGAAGAGGCCCTTCCCCCTCACTTGAGATCCGGCGCGGCCTTAGCCTTGAACTTTGAATCCTGGGGGAAGAGGACAAAACCCGCTCCCGCGCAGCACTTTGAGTCTCCGGAGATTTCACCCATCTAACCTCTTGTGATTCTTCGAACGTTCAGGGAACGGTAGCTATTGTTCTCCCATTTCACAGATGATGAGACGAGATTCAAAGAAAGACTGCGACTTGCCCAGGGTCACACAGTTACTTAAAGGCTTAACTAGGATTTAACCCCGGGCTGCTTATGATCACACAATGGAGGAAGGACTGAATCTTCCCCCGAAGGACCCTCTAGGCAGCTCCCCTCTCTCTCCCGGGGGCTGGAGCAAGGCGGGTGGTCCATAACTCGTGAAGAAGGGGGACGCACTCGTATCGTTACTGCACTGCCGCTGTCCCCTCAGGACGCAGGTCAGCCGTTGGCTCTTGGGAATCCGTCAAGTTTCTGGGCGCCCTGTGGTGTCTTGAATCTCTTCTGCCCACGCAGGGGACCACTCAGGCCCGGGTGTGGGAGGCAGGGTGAAGGAGCCCCGACTCTTCGGAGGTCATGGCTCCAGAGCGCAGGGGAAGGCCGGGTCGGCCACTGCCTGGCTGTTTGCTGGGCCGAGGGGATCGAGGGCCCGGCAGGGAGAGTACCTCTGGGGCACGTGCCCCCAGTGCTCCCTCCGTCCGTGCCTCCCTCCCTCGCTCGGTCCTCCGTAGCTCCTACTGGCGGAAGTCTCAGCAGGCCCTTTGTTTTCTGTTCCCCACAGCCTGGGCCGGCTCCTGCCCTCACATATGCTCCCGCACAAGCTGCAGGACTGCCCCCTCCCCCCCCCGGCAGTGTACACATTTACTCTCCTACAGACACAGCCCCATTGTCTCCGCCACTGCTCTTCCCCGGCCCTCTGGGTTCCAGATGAGGCCAGCTGAGCCCTCCCACCCCTCCACAGCAGACCCACCCTGACTGCCGCGGGGAAGGAGCGGGGGAGGGGGCTGTCAGGCCCGATTCCTTCCACCACCTTCTTGGCCCCCCTCTGCCCCTCCCCCTCACGGAAATCCCCTCTTCCTCTCCCACTCCCACACCCCCTCCCCCCATCCTGTCTTCTTCCCGGAGCCTGGGCCTCCAGCGCACAGCCTGGAGCAGCCTCTGCCCTGCCTCTCTCCCATCCCCCAGCGCCTGGGCTGTGCTACTGAGGCTTCTGAAGAGGAGAGAGGTGCTCCTCACCCGCCACGGTACAAGCACAAGTGAGGGTGTCCACAGCCCTGGCTGGGCCCCAAGCTGCAGGCTAAGCTTCTGTCTGAAGCCTAGGGACTTGCCTCCATCCCCTCCCTTTCTCCTAAACCACTAAATCAGCACATTCCTGAAGCAGCCAAGTGGACCCCCTCCCCCTGGACCCACCCCTCTTTCCCCACTCCTGCCTGAGCTGTTAGGTTGGTCCAGGAAGGCTGGTTGCCCTGTGGGCAGACACACCCCTTCCGTGCCTGCTCTTGTATTGTCCTTGGCATTGAAGTATGGCCATTGGTAGTGAGGTCAAGGGGAGGAGGTGGGTGCTAGAAATCCTTGGGGCAGTTGGGGCATGGACTGCCCAGGTCCTGGAGAGTGCCTCTAGAACTGGGCTCTTATGTGGGCTGTGGTTCTGCCTTGCTCCCTGCCTGCCTTCCACCTACCTGACTCAGACCTACCAGGAATGCCCTGCCCCAGGGCCCTGAGTCCTGCTGGGTGAGCCCTAGCTCTCCCTGAGCCATGCCAGGCATGTGTGACTGGCCCTGGCTGGGGTCAGCAAGGGCGTGTCGACAGAAGCATGCCAACAGGCTCCTTGGGTGCTGACAGCCAGGTGGGGTTTGGTGCAGGAGAAGGCGGGCAGCTAGCAGGAGGGGACGGTCACGAGGCTTCAGAAGCCCACTGAGCAGTGCCCAGAGTCATAGCTTTGCTTGCTGGACATTTTCCCTTGCCCCAGCTTCTCTTCCTCGTGTGTGTGGTGTAGTAGAGCCTGTCTGAGCTGTGGAGTCAGACACACATAGCCAGGTACTGCTTCACCTGTAAGTCTATTTGTTTCATCTGTAAAATGGGGGCATTCCACCCCTTCTCAGAGGCAGGTGGCAAGGGCTGGGTGGGAGTGTAAACAGGTGCCAGGGAGCATGCCTTTCCTCCCCTTTTCTTTGGGAGACACACCCTCAAAGGAGCAGGGCAGGGTAAGGTGGCCGCAAGCTGACCTTTGCCCTGGTTCTTGGCAGAGGACCTTCCTGGGGACTGGGCAGCCCTGGCACTTAATCTCAGCCCATCCCTGTTCCCCCTCCCAATCAGCTTTCAACCCAGCCAGTGAAAACTAACCTAGGGGGAGGGGGTAACTGTGCAGCGTGTTCCTTCCCCAGTCCAGCTGCCATCCTGGGGGAGGGGGTGCCAGCTGCCACCTGTTGGCCAAGTCCTGACTGAGGCAGCTGTCTGTGCCTCCTCTAGGCCCAGATCCCCCTTCCCAGGACAGGGGCTGGGGTCTTTTGGGATCCTGGGGAAGTAGACCCCTCAGGCCTCTGCTTGCCCTTTTGTCTCACCTGGGCTGGTTGGGAACCGGTCTGGTGAGGAAGGGAGGCTGCCTTGGTGGAGGGGGTGGGGCCAGGCCTCCCTTTCCTCTAATGACAAGCCTTGACCCTGCCCCTCCCCCATTTCAGTGAAGGCGTCTTCAAGTGCCCTGAGGACCAGCTTCCTCTGGACTATGCCAAGGTGAGTCCACACTGCCAGGAAGAAGTCCAAGCACAGTCTGTTGCCCTTGGAGGCCAGAGCTGCTGGCAGCCAGTGGGCTCAGGGCCAGTGTCAACCAAAAGCCTTGGGATGGTGCGCCCCACAAAGGTAGCCTGTTCCCTCCCACCAGGCCAGTTTCCAAACGAGGCCCGTGTTTGCCCTGGAGGACAGGCACAATGCCCAGCCTGTAGGGGTGCACAGAGCTGCTCTGTGCCCGCAAGAAGTGCTCCCTCCCCTTCCGGTGGCGAGCCAGACCTGTGGCTGAGGGCCAGTGTCCTGCCACCAGGGAGAAGGAAGCAGAGCCCCAGGGACAGCCTGGGAGTGAGCAGGTTGATTGGCTGCCCCTTCAAAGGAAGCGTCCTGTGCAGGCATGTTAGGACCCAGCATCAGAGCAGACGCTGCCTGCTGTACCCTTCATTCCTGGACTCTGAGGGGCAAAGAGCCCGAAAGAGGCTATTACAGGCTCCAAGGTAGAGCCAGCCCAGTTGGGGCTGGAGGTGGGAACTGGGCACTGCAGTCAGCTCTGATCCTGGCCGGTTCCCCTATCCTCACCCCCAGATCTACCCAGACCCCGAGCTGGAAGTACAAGTATTGGGCCTGCCTATCCGCTGCATCCACAGTGAGGAAGGCTGCCGCTGGAATGGGCCACTACGCCATCTACAGGTGAGGCTCTGACGTGAGGGGCTGGCACCACCTCACCCTTGGCAGGCACTCATTGCAGCCCTTCCCACCAGGGCCACCTGAATACCTGCAGCTTCAACGTCGTTCCCTGCCCTAATCGCTGCCCCATGAAACTGAGCCGCCGTGATCTACCTGCACACTTGCAGCACGACTGCCCCAAGCGGCGCCTCAAGTGCGAGTTTTGTGGCTGTGACTTCAGTGGGGAGGCCTATGAGGTGGGTGGGGTCTGGCTGAATGTGGAGGAGGGGTACCTGATGGCCTAGGCATCCCTTAACTCAGCACCTCTGACATTTCCACAGAGCCATGAGGGTATGTGCCCCCAAGAGAGTGTCTACTGTGAGAATAAGTGTGGTGCCCGCATGATGCGGCGGCTGCTGGCCCAGCATGCCACCTCTGAGTGCCCCAAGCGCACTCAGCCCTGCACCTACTGCACCAAGGAGTTCGTCTTTGACACCATCCAGGTGAGGCCCTTCCTGAGCTGTGGTTGCAGGGCAGGTGACAGGGAGTCAGGATATTGACTCTTGCCTCTCTGCCTCTGTGGCCCCAGAGCCACCAGTACCAGTGCCCAAGGCTGCCTGTTCCCTGCCCCAACCAGTGTGGTGTGGGCACTGTGGCCCGGGAGGACCTGCCAGGCCATCTGAAGGACAGCTGTAGCACTGCCCTGGTGCTCTGCCCATTCAAAGACTCCGGCTGCAAGCACAGGGTGAGACGCCCCTTCTCCTGTCAGCCCCCTTTTGCTCTTGAAGCCCTAGACAGAGGCTCAGCTTCCTGATGCCACTTAGGCCTTGGTGGTCCCTGCTGTGCTTCTCTGAAACCCTCAGTCCTTCCCTCTGGTGACCAGCTCCAGCCTCTTAACACCCTCTGTCTTCCTCACATAGAGCTGGGTGCCTGCTACCCTGTACCCACTCTCCTCTCCTCTCTTCTCTGGACCTTCCCCTACTGATAACTCTCCTCCCTTCCCCCATGGCCTGGGGCTTTGTCAACAGTGCCCTAAGCTGGCAATGGCACGGCATGTGGAGGAGAGTGTGAAGCCACATCTGGCCATGATGTGTGCGCTGGTAAGCCGGCAACGGCAGGAGCTGCAGGAGCTTCGGCGAGAGCTGGAGGAGCTATCAGTGGGCAGTGATGGCGTGCTCATCTGGAAGATTGGCAGCTATGGACGGCGGCTACAGGAGGCCAAGGCCAAGCCCAACCTTGAGTGCTTCAGCCCTGCCTTCTACACACATAAGTATGGTTACAAGCTGCAGGTGTCTGCATTCCTCAATGGCAATGGCAGTGGCGAGGGCACACACCTCTCACTGTACATTCGTGTGCTGCCTGGTGCCTTTGACAATCTCCTTGAGTGGCCCTTTGCCCGCCGTGTCACCTTCTCCCTGCTGGATCAGAGCGACCCTGGGCTGGCTAAACCACAGCACGTCACTGAGACCTTCCACCCCGACCCAAACTGGAAGAATTTCCAGAAGCCAGGCACGTGGCGGGGCTCCCTGGATGAGAGTTCTCTGGGCTTTGGTTATCCCAAGTTTATCTCTCACCAGGACATTCGAAAGCGAAACTATGTGCGGGATGATGCAGTCTTCATCCGTGCTGCTGTTGAACTGCCCCGGAAGATCCTCAGCTGAGTGCAGGCAGGGTTTGAGGGGAAAGGACGATGGGGCATGACCTCAGTCAGGCACTGGCTGAACTTGGAGAGGGGGCCGGACCCCCGTCAGCTGCTTCTGCTGCCTAGGTTCTGTTACCCCATTCTGCCTCCCCCAGCCACCACCCTCAGGTGCCTCCAGTTGGTGCTTCAGCCCTGGCCCCTGTGGGGAACAGGTCTTGGGGTCATCAAGGGCTGGAAACAAGTGACCCTAGGGCCTGTCTCCCTTCTTGGGTAGGGCAGACTTGCCTTGGTGCCGGTAACACAATACCTGGACTGAGGTGCCTGCTCAGGTGCTATGTCCCAAGAGCCATAGGGGGGTGGGAGTTGGGGATGGAGAAAGGGTAGTACAAAGAGTCTGTCTTGAGATCTGATTTTTTTCCCCTTTCCCTAGCCGTGCCCCCTCTGGTTATTTATTTCCTTAGTGCCAGGAGGGCACAGCAGGGGAGCCCTGCTTTTTAATAAACCTGGAATTGTATTTATTAATTTGCTTCCAGCCTGACTTACCTGGGTTGGTTAGGGCCCTGGGAGGCTCAACCAAACTGAAGGCAAAGAAAGGACCAGTCAGAGAAGGGCCGCTGCCTGGGTCTGGCCCCAAGATCCAGCTGCCCTACTGGCTCGCCCTCCGATGGACGCCAGGGAAACTGCATCAGGCTTTGTGTGGAAGACAGTCCCTGCTGCTGCCCTCTGGCGATGAAATCGGGGAGGTGTATGGCCTGTATGTTTCATAAGGCTGGAGTCCCTGGTCAGCCATACCAGACTAGTGCCTCTGCCCTAGGCAGGTCTTTCTTGGTCTAATGATAATAGGTACTGACACTGCTAAGCACTTTACGTGCATTATTATTTCACTGAAAAGAACTGTCAAGTGAAATACTTCTTATCACAATAACTGGCTTTGTGGGCTCTAGAGAAGAGTTCATGAGGCAATGCATGTTCTTGTCCCAGAGTAAGTGCTTAGTGAATGCTTTTTAACTCCGAACCCCAGCCGCATCCAGGGGACTGGATGTTGAGCACAAGGGGCCTTCAAGATGTTTAAGGCACTTGGATTTTCTTCTGTCTCTCATCGGCCTTTCTTATGGGCCTCAGTGGGTGCGTGTGATTATCTACGTTTCACTGATGAAACACAGAGGAGTGACTGACTTATCAATGATTCTTTTTTTTTTTTTTTTTGAGACGGAGTCTCGCTTTGTCGCCCAGGCTGGAGTGCAGTGGCCGATCTCAGCTCACTGCAAGCTCCGCCTCCCGGGTTCACGCCATTCTCCTGCCTCAGCCTCCCGAGTAGCTGGGACTACAGGCGCCGCCACCTCGCCCGGCTAGTTTTTTGTGTTTTTTAGTAGAGACGGGGTTTCACCATATTAGCCAGGATGGTCTCGATCTCCTGACCTCGTGATCCACCCGTCTCGGCCTCCCAAAGTGCTGGGATTACAGGCTTGAGCCACCGTTATCAATGATTCTTCTGCGGGTTCGGGCAGGGCCTGGATTCTGTTTTAAACTCCAGTAGTCGTCCCTAGAAGTTGTAGCTTCCTCTAATTTTGGCAATAGGTGTGGGTCGTTGTGCTTGCTTTTGGCAAGTTTCTGAGCGACATAGGTCCTCCATTACCCTCACTGGTGAAAGCCAGCTCACCTCCCAGATTTACTGTAAAGATTAAATGAACTGGTCAGTACACAGTGCTTTACTGTCTTGCCTATCCCTGAGAAGAGGCTGTTATGTACAAGAATCAGTAAGGGAAGGTTCAAGGACTGTAGTTATGTCTCTTCCCACGTAGAGACCGAGGGGGTTTTTTTTTTTTGAAAAAAATGAAAAACCTCAGTCTTTGCTGCATATGACTAGCTACTCGGGAGGCTGAGGTGACAGGATGGCTTGAGCCCAGAAGGCAGAGGTTAAAGTGAGCTGAGATTGCGCTACTGCACTCCAGCCTGTGTGGCAGAGCCAGACCCTGTCTCAAAAAAAAAAAAAAAAAAAAAAAAAGGCCTTGGGCTGGGCACAGTGGCTCACTCACACCTGTAATCCCAGCATTTTGGGAAGCCGAGGTGGGCGGATCATGAGGTCAGGAGATTGAGACCATCCTGGCTAACATGGTAAAACCTCATCTCTACTACAAATACAAAAAAAAAATTAGCTGGGTGTGGTGGCATGCACCTGTAGTCCCAGCTACTCGGGAGGCTGAGGCAGGAGAATCGCTTGAACCTGGGAGGGGGAGGTTGCAGTGAGCCGAGATGGCTCCTTTGCACTCCAGCCTGGTAAGAGAGGGAGACTCCGTCTCAAACAAACAAAAAGCCTTTATTGGGTGACAGGACTAACCCTCGGTGAGCCAGGCTGGGGAGCTCATCATCTAACCCAGTCTTTTCAAAAACATCAAATTGACCTATGTAGGGAGAAGTGGGGCCCTGGCTGAGAAACTAGAGCTGGGCCTCTTCACCAGATAAACCTCTTGGTATGGTGATGCCTGGAGACTGGTAGAGGCAGCCACGGGCTCCAGCAGCATAAATGCTTTCAGGCAACAGGCTGAAACACCCTTCCAGAATCCCAGCTACACACCTGACCGGGCACAGTGGCTGACGCCTATAATCCCAGCACTTTGGGAGCCCGAGTTGGAGATCAGCCTGGGCAACAAAGGGGAGATGCCCCATATCTACAAAAAAATACAAGGACCCGGGCACGTTGGCTCATGCCTGTAATCCCAACACTTTGGGAGGCTGAGGCGAGCGGATCACCTGAGGTCAGGAGTTTGACACCAGCCTGGCCAACGTGGTAAAACACAGTCTCTACTAAAAATGCAGAAAACTTAGCTGGGCTTGGTGGCGGGTGCCTATAATCACACCTATTTGGGAGGGTGAGACTGGAGAATCGCTTGAACCCGGTAGGCGGAGGTTGCAGTGAGCTGAGATCACGCCACTGCACTCCAGCCTGGGCAACAAAATGAAACTCCATCTCAAAAAAAAAAAAAAAAAAATTAGCTGGGCATGGAGGCACACACCTGTAGTCCCAGCTACTTGGGAGGCCGAGGCAGAAATCACTTGAACCTGGGAAGTGGAGGTTGCAGTGAGCTGAGATTGCACCACTGCACTCCAGCCTGGGCAACATGGTGAGACTCCATCTCTAAATAAATAAATAAATAAATAAGCTGGGCACTTGTGTCAAACTTGGGCTCCTCTGCTGCCCAGGACACTGCCACTGCATGATTCCGGGGGTAACATTCACATAGTCTAGATGGTGCCTCCTAGAGTTGTGTGCAAACAATGGGGGCTGTTAACCCCATACTCTGCAAGCCTCGCACACCTGGCCCTCATTCAGTGCTAGTCATAACTTGCAGATTTCAGGCCATGTTCTGCAATGAAAGTGTGAGCTGCACTCCCCAAGGATCTACCTCAGCCCAGGAATCATTCACTCTGGAGGAAGCGCTGTACTTTACTGTCCAGCTCTATGCTTTTAGGCTGACTGCAGATCTTATCTGACACAGGCAGAAGACAGCTTTCTTTCACAGAGGTGGCATGAGGCATAAAGGAGTCAAAACACTTTCACAAAAGAGCACCCTGGGCCGGGCACAGTGGCTCACACCTGTAATCCCAGGACTTTGGGAGGCTGAGGTGGGTGGATCACAAGGTCAGGAGTTCGAGACTAGCCTGACCAACATGGCAAAACCCCATCTCCACTAAAAATACAAAAATTACCGCCTGGGCACGGTGGCTCACGCCTGTAATCCCAGCACTTTGGGAGGCCGAGACAGGTGGATCACGAGGTCAGGAGATCAAGACCATCCTGGCTAACACGGTGAAATCCCATCTCTACTAAAAATACACACACAAAAAAAGGCTGGACACGGTGGCTCACGCCTGTAATCCCAGCACTTTGGGAGGCTGAGGCAGGCGGATTACGAGGTCAGGAGATCGAGACCATCCTGGTTAACACAGTGAAATCCGTGTCTACTAAAAAATACAAAAAATTAGCCGGGCGTAGTGGTGAGCGCCTATAGTCCCAGCTACTCGGGATGCTGAGGCAGGAGAATGGTGTGAACCCAGGAGGCGGAGGTTACAGTGAGCTGAGATTGCGCCACTGCACTCCAGCCTGGGTGACAGAGCAAGACTCCATCTCAAAAACAAACAAAAAAATTAGCCGGGCATGGTGGCAGGCGTCTGTAGTCCCACCTATTCAGGAGGGTGAGGCAGAATGGCGTGAACCCGGGAGGCAGAGCTTGCAGTGAGCTGAGACCGTGCCACTGCACTCCAGCCTGGGCAACAGAGCGAGACTCTGTCTCCCCGCCCCCCCCCAAAAAAAAAGACCTGGGCGTGGTGGCACACATCTGTAGTCCCAGCTTCTCAGGGGGCTGAGGCAGGAGAATCACTTGAACTCAGGAGGTGGAGGTTGCAGTGAGCCAAGATCGTGCCACTGCCAGCCTGAGCGACAGAGCGAGAGATTGTCTCAAGAAAAAAAAAAAGCACCCCCATCCTGGCTAACACAGTGAAACCCCATCTCTACTAAAAAAAAAAGTTAGCCGGGCATGGTGGCGGGCGTCTGTAGTCCCAGCTACCCGGGAGGCTGAGGCAGGAGAATGGCGTGAACCCGGGAGGCGGAGCCTGCAGTGAGCTGAGATCACACCACTGCACTCCAGCCTGGGCAACCGAGCAAGACTCCATCTCAAAACAAACAAACAAACAAACAAAAAAACTACCCTGCAGAAAAGGGTGTGCGCAAGAAGGCTGGGTGCTTTAGCTCCGTAAGCATTCAGGAAGCCACCTGTGGATCTTGCCACCAAGGGTCTGATTCTACCCTCCCTGAATCCCGCATCTTGTGCAATAAATTTATTTTATTTTAATTATTATTTTTTTGAGACAGAGTCTCACCCTTTTTGCCCAGACTGGAGTGCAGTGGCGCGATCTCAGCTCACTGTAACCTCTGCCTCCCGGGTTCACAAGCAATTCTCCTGCCTCAGCCTCCCAAGTAGTAGCTGGGATTAGCCCCCGCCACCACACCTGGCTAATTTCTGTAGTTTTAGTAGGCACGGATTTTACCATGTTGGCCAGGCTGGTCTCGAATTCCTGACCTAAGGTGATCTGGCTGGCCTCGGCCTCCCAAAGTGCTGTGATTACAGAGATGAGCCACCATGCCAAGCCTCAATTTTTTATTTTTTTGATGGAGTTTTTGCTCTTGTCATCCAGACTGGAGTGCAGTGGCGCGATCTTAGCTCACTGCAACCTCCGCCTCCCGGGTTCAAGTGATTCTCCTGCCTCAGCCTCCTGAGTAGCTGGGACTACGGCACCGCTGCCGCGGCTTATTTTTGTATTTCTAGTAAGACAGGGGTTTCTGGCATGTTGGTTGGCCAGGCTGGTCTTGAACTCCTGACCTTAGGTGATCTGGCCTGACCTCAGCTCAAAGTGGGATTACAGGAAGTGAGCCACTGCGCCAGCCTCCATTTAGTTTTCTTTGATGAGCTTTTGCTTGTGCTAAGTCAGGCCGGAGTGCGGGTGGCACACGTGTTGGCCACTGC